ACCCTAACCCATGGACTATTAGGGTTAGTGCTACTACTATTTACATTAGTGCTGCCCACCACTGGGCGTTCATCATGTTTACGCTGCTCTTTTACACACTTTTCCTGAAGATAGAAGCATTTGCAGATTCTGTTCATGTGAGCAAAAGTAAGAGAAATTCAGGATAAAAATACAAAAGTGTTCTTGCATGAGGCCCAATGACAGTARGCTTCTGTAGATTGACCACTGTGGTAGGAGTGAGACGCCACATTGGAAGGGGCGGGCTGTCAATGGCAAGGCCMGATTAACCATATGGGCAATCCGGCCTTGCCATTGACAGCCCYCCCCTTCCAATGTGGCGTCTCACTCCTACCACAGTGAGACGCCACATTGGAAGGGGCGGGCTGTCATGGCAACATGTTTTCCTGATATGARTGTATGTACTGACAAACATTTTTATCAAATCAAAATAATGGTTGTCAATATCAAACTGAGTTTCATTGATGTGCTGACCTAAATTTAACATGGATACCACATTTAGCTTCACCAGCTTGTTCTCGCCCCAAGTGTGGTTGCTCTCTTTGACCAAGAAAAGTCACGTGATAGTGCCTCTATTCAATAAACCTRGTTGGATATAATGTGCCTACCTCTCTTTTCTTCTCGGTACTCCTTCTTCCTCCTCTTACTTATGTTGTCCAGGTGGATCTGATAAGCCACTCCTGCAATGACCATGATCCCCACCACCACACACAGGCCCGTGCTGAAGATCCACATGGCCTCTGAGGCTCGACTCTGAACAGGCTCATCGTCGTTGGGTTTGTCTGCACGCCAAGAAGAAGCAGAGATGAATGAGGCGCTGGTGCATGTCGAGGATAATCTCTGGTGAACAACTCACATGTGTATCTCAAGGTTTCGTTCATAGACGGGTTCTCGACAATGCACGACACGTTGTCATTTTTGGAAACTGAGATGGTCAGGTTGCTTGTGACACTGAAGAAATGAGAGGAGAGGTCAAACTCTGTAAGGGTCCTGACTGAACCCTTGGGGGGCTGAAGCGTATTGTTAATGAGCCAGTAGACTGAAGGTTTCGGGTAGCCGCCAGTGGAGTGACACAGGAAGGTTGTCTCGTTCCCAGCCATGTGTTCCCTCTTCAACAGGGAAATGCTGAAACTGGCTGCAGAAACAAAAGCAGGAGTCAGTTCCTTATAGGTGTTCTCACGACGACCTGCTGAGTTTGAAACTAACCTGCTACCTTGAAGCACACGCTGCACAGCGGGGAACTTTGATTCTCCCCTGAAATGAGGAAAAGGCTGTAATGTACCCCGTCCTCTCTGGGATGTACAGCAGGCAGCTCCAGGGAGAAATTACCACTCCGTGCAGCATCAGCAGGGATAGAAGCATGATTTAAACTCCATGTCTCCACGTTCCCTTTGTCATCCCATACTGATCTGAGCACCACTTTATCATCTTTCCTCCACTCAATGGAAAAGTTCACAGATAGCTCATGGTAGAGGCAGGGCAGAAGAATGGGCTGGCCCACAATGCCAAGGATGCATTCTTCTGAACAGAACACATGTCAGTAAAATATTATTTATATAGTGCCTTTCACAGAAATAAGTTCACAAGGTGCTGTACAAACAGTTAAGATCACCCATTCAAGAAGGCACACATGACAAACACGGGGGAACAGGTGTACAGGTCATGCAGTAACAGAGACAGAGACTGTTATGCTACCTTTAATAAATGTAAAGCATTAAGTTTTACTGTGARTTGTGATGTTAGTGTGTGATCTGCATGACCAGACAGGTAGAGAACTTACCCACACCTGCACACAGATGCACAGAGCTGAGCAGCAGTCCTGCGCAGTACCACAGCGCCAACACAGGCACCATACATTCCTGAGGGCACATGAGCGCGCCAAGGGACCAAATCCAGCTGGAGAATATTTAACTTGATTAWAAACTATTAAGACATTAGACCTACACCCGACTGAACGTTAGACATGCCTGTTTGACTATACTTCCTCATTCTCTGCAGAGCCAAACACACACCCTTTCCACTGTGTTCATCGTCAAGTCAAGCTGCAGCTTGTTTCCTCATACCTGCTCTCACAAAGTTACAAATCCTCCCTGACTGAAATCCAGAAAAACAGCTGAGAAAAGTTCAAATGAAGAGATTAAACAGCGAAAACCCGAGTCTTGTCAGTGTGTGGCAGCTAATATCCGCTCAGGAGCCATGTATACACAGATTGGTCCAACCTGCTTGACTTCTTTACACACACACACACACACACACACACACACACAC